GGTCTTCCCCCGTTTGGGTCGTACCAAAGAAGCTTGATGCTTCTGGTAAACAGAAGTGGCGAGTAGTCATCGACTACCGAAAACTGAATGAAGTGACTATCGACGACAAGTACCCACTTCCGAACATCTCCGATCTTCTCGACCAATTAGGCAAGTGCCAATATTTCACCACCCTCGATTTGGCTTCCGGATTCCACCAAATTGAGATTGATCCCGAAGATATCCAGAAAACCGCATTTTCTGTGGAAAATGGGCATTATGAATTCGTTCGTATGCCATTTGGATTGAAGAACGCCCCTTTCACCTTTCAACGCGTAATGGACAACATCTTAATGGGAATTCAGAATGAACGTTGCCTTGTCTATATGGACGATATTATCGTCTATTCCCCTACTATTCATGAACATATCGCCCGGATTACAGAAGTTTTCAAACGGTTACGGAAACAAACCTAAAAATACAACCCGACAAATGTGAGTTCCTTCGCAAGGAAGTAGCATATTTAGGACATCTCATCACCCAAGATGGTGTGAAGCCAAACCCCTCTAAAGTCGAGTGTATAAGAAATTTTCCTCAACCCAAAAATCCGAAAGACATCAAATCTTTCCTTGGCCTCTCCGGCTACTATAGGCGATTCATCCCAAATTTCGCAAAGACTTCAAAACCCTTGACAAGACTTTTACAAAAAGACATCCCTTTCAATTTCAACGCAGACTGTATAAACTCTTTCGAAACACTCAAAGAAGCACTCACTACATCTCCAATACTAATATACCCAAATTTTGACGAACCTTTTCTTCTAACAACCGACGCTAGTGCATTCGCGATAGGCGCAGTCCTATCTCAAGGACCAATAGGAAAAGATCTTCCGATTTCTTATGCATCAAGAACCTTGTGTGCAGCCGAAACAAAGTACTCTACGATAGAGAGAGAACTTTTGGCAATTGTATGGGCAGTAAAGCACTTTCGCCCATATCTTTTCGGGCACAAATTTAAATTGGTTACAGATCATCGCCCCCTGACCTGGCTCTTTTAAATTAAAGACCCTGGTAGCAGGTTAGCTCGATGGCGCTTGAAACTAGAAGAATACGATTATGAGATAATCTTCAAACCAGGCAAAACTAATAAAAATGCAGACGCACTCTCTCGTATTAAAATCAATCATTTCGATCAATGCGCAAAATTTCAAACAAAAATTCATCATATTGAAGACCCTATAGAAATTTCAGATTCCGAAGACAACCCCGATACATCAGACAATCCCGTACTAGACGAACAAACTAACGAAGCAACACCCGAAAAAATTCAAGAAGAATTTTATACCTTTGTTGACCTATACAGAACAAAATCACTCATAGACTATTCAAAGATAGAATTTGTCAATTCTCAATTACTCGATAAATCTAATAAAAACCTAATTATCTTTTTCTGGCAAAATAAACTGCAAGGTTTCCATCATACTATCTATGAGGATATTTTTGAACAGGATGCCGATTTCCACTCTGATATTATCAATATTTTCAACAGCAAATCAGTCAAAGATCGCAAATATTTTGTAATCATTCTCCCCTTCGATCCCGAAGCAGTCATAGAAAGATTATTCTATATATTGTACAAAAATAGAAATCAATTGGACCTCTCAAAAACATACGTCGTTGAAAACAATTTGGAACTACCAATTCTAGAAATGTTTTGCTTCATATTTAATGACAAAGATATCAAAATCAAAATCTGCCAAAATATCACCAGAACACCCGATCCTGATCAAATACCAATCATATTAGACCAATTCCATTCAGGCAAAAATAATCTTCATCGTGGAATAAATGAAACTGCAAGAAGAATCAAAGTAAAATACACTTGGCAAGGAATGAGCAAAGACGTTGAAAATTTTGTCAAGAACTGTGAAATTTGTCAAAAGACTAAAATTTGTAGAAAAAACTTAAGTACCCCATTAGTTATTACCGAAACCCCAAAATCACCATTCGAGAGAATCAATATTGACCTATTTGAAGTACCGACAAGAAATTACGCACTAACAATCAGAGACGAACTTACAAAATTCACGCAAGCCTATGCAATAGAAGACAAATCCGTGTTAACCATCCACAATCGAACGGTTCACTTGAGAGATTTCATGCGACACTTATTGAAATGATTAGAGTAAACTTAGCCGAAAATCCGAATGAACATCCTTTCAACGTACTTCCATATGCAGTCATGTGCTATAATACCATGAAGAATAAAACACACGGTTTTACTCCATATGAACTAGTATTTGGACATACCGCCTCCAGAGCGCCCGATACTCTCTACAATGAAAAACAATTAATCTCAAAATACGTTCGTGACCTCAATAATAGGATTTCTTACTACTACAATATTGCACGCGAAAGAACACAAAATAGAAAAGAGCAAGCCAAAATTCGATTTGACAAACGAGTAAATGAAAACTTACCAAATTATCAAGTAGGCGATAAAGTGTATGTTAAAGAGTCCCAAATTAAAGACAAACTCCAGAACAAATTTAACGGTCCTTTTGAAATAATTGAAATATATCAAAATTCAGCAATGCTCGTAAATTGGCAAACAAAACAAAAGACTAAAGTAAACTTCGACAGACTTAAACCTTATTTTGATTAGTGAATCTCTTTACAGGTCCATTCTGCTGTTTTCAGCAGCTGACGCCCAACACACGCTCAAATCAATAAACAATACAATCGGAATATATTACCACGAAGAATCAACAGTTAAATTCTCTAACGATGAATGGACACTAATAGTTTACAAAGACCTCGAACCCATCAAAGGTGCTCTCGAGAAAAATAACCGAATATTAGAATCGATGCTCGATTTATTCGATACACCGAACCCTCGTATGGTATCCTTCAAAGCCGAAGTAAAAACTCATATGAGTCTTCTCTCACAAATCTCCGATTCACTAGGCCTGAAGTATCGTGAAATATTCGCAGATACAAAACCCGGCCATAGAACAAAAAGAGGAATATTCAATGGTGCAGGTTCCTTTCGGAAAGTCATCACTGGAAATTTGGATGCTTCCGATGGAGAATATTTCAATGACTGTATTAATAAGATATCTAAAGACGAATATCAGCTTGAAAACCTGATGAAAAACCAAATATCTGTAACTACTTCCGTTATCAAAAGTTTCAATAACACAATTCAAAAATTACAAATAGACGAAGCTACTTTCAACAATAACCTAAAATCAATCGAGAAATCAATATATGATATTTCTGACGATGTAGCATATGTTGAAGCTCAATTAGAAACCTTAGAATTTTGCGAATCACTAATGGAGAGCTATATGTTTCTCGAAGCAACATTAGATGATATGCTCAACTCAATCACCTTTTCTCGACTAAGAATAATACATACGTCAATCATAACACCTAGAGATTTAGTTAATTCCCTTCAGGAAATATCTCAGTCATTATCCAAAAATAATTTGCCTCTACCAATCTATCTATCAACAGTAGCTCAATATTTAGAAATTATGGAACTTGAAGCCTACCAAACTGATTCAAAAATAGTTTTCTTGTTAAGAATCCCACTAGTTGAACCAGAAACCTATACCCTATTCCGATTATTCCCAATACCAATATTGGATAATAGAACAGGTTTTCATCACATTTTGTTGACAAATCAAAAATATATCGCGAGAGATGACGATTCAATGTTGTACGCAGCATTCAAAAACTTGGACAGATGCAAATACCTGGAGAGCCGAATACAAATCTGTTCAGATGTTCTGCCATATCCAATCGATAACAACGCTATCTGCGAAGCTCAACTTCTTCGACAGCAATTCGAAGTACCGAAGACATGCCAGTCCTCAGTCATCTTTGCAAGAGACTATAATGTACAAGAAATTGCCTCCAATGTGTGGTTGATCGCTTTGTCAGATCCACTACCAATAACGATCAAGTGTTCCAATAGAGAAACAATCACGAAAATAGCCAATACCAATTCGATCCTCACACTACAACCAGAATGCAATGCATTTATAGGAAGCACGAGAGTACACGCTAAGTACTTGGTCAGTTCTTACAAGAATGTGACCTACAGAAATCAACCAGTCATCATCCCATACGAATGCTGCAAACACCTACCTGAAAAACAGAATGTTCCAGAGCTAAAACCACTGAAACTAAGCAAATTGGATACTGAAGACCTGAATATTGCCCAGCACAAATTGAGTCAATATTCCGATGATTTGGACAAGTTAATCAATCAACCATACGTGACCAAACACATTTCTTGGTTTACGTATCTTACGATCACCCTGATAATCCTCCTGATTGTACTCTACTTCTACTGTAAGTGCAGACGTAGAAGACCAGCAAGAATAAGCATCATGGCTTCAGACAATTCACCCCCAGCTCCACCAGGAACATCAAGGACACCCTTCAGATCATCCCTTACCAGGTTCATCCCCAGAAGACGCCCAAGCGTCAACATCCGAGACCAAGAAGACGACTTCGAGCTGACATCATCCACCTCGAAAGACCTTCATTAAAAGTCGCTGCAATAAGCACCAACTTTTTATTATGATGGGGAGTTGTTATATGCTAAAATCAGTTCCCATTGTTCTCAGTAGGATCAACTTACCAGCGATAACAATTCCTCAGAACATGATCTTGACCTTGAAGTCAGCATCCGTAGAAATGGAATATAATATCTGCTGACGCTGGCATCAGCATTATTTTTAATATAAATTCATTTTATATTGTATCAAAAAGTCAGTCTTGAAATAAAGCTCATTGTATAAACTTAATCTATGCCGGAATAAATAAAATTGTTTTTAAAAAGTCTATTTCGAAAACCACGAGTTAATTAGAAATTGAATAACATTCATCAACTCAGACATGACAAGAAAATTTAATGAGTATTTTTTCCAGTGTAGTTGAATAGTTGAAAAATTTCCAATCAAATCAGTTATGAAACACCGTGTTTATTTACTAACTATAAATGCTTACGTTTACAACTCGTAATTTTTTGCATGAAGCGTCTTGGGTCCAAATATTATTCTTATGCGGTATTTGATATCTGGTGCATTTTCGAATGGCGGATCTTTCACCATTGAATGCAGCTAGCATTATCCAGTAACAATTGGAAGCTGATGGATGCTTAGTTTCATCATCACACAAAAAAATGTGTCCATCCTGTTTGCCACGTACAGAGAGTGGTATCGTGAAAGAAGAACCATTTCTAATGGAAATGTCCATTTGATAAAAGAAGAGATCTGATTGTCTTCCATTGGCAGGAACAGTTATGGTTAACGGTAAATCTGAAAAATAGCAAGTTTATTTCGATATCATGCCACATTAATTTATTTCTTCAAATTGTAACGCTGAATTCTGAAGTCATATATAATTATACGCCAAGGTTTTCATTACCAGCTTCTTATCAGATACAATTTCTTGGGACTTTTAATGCTACCTGAAAAAGATTTCTCATCATCAACAGTTGGTAACAGTATCAACCTCAAAATAATGTTGGACTGGATACTTTAATTAATAAAATTCAGAATCAGAACCCCAGAAATAAAATATTAAAATCATTTATTTATTCATTCATTCATTTATTTATTTATTTATTTATTTATTGATAATACATCCAAACAGATTGAAAATCCACTTTGCTGGAGTATATAACATATTGAGTTTTGTGATAATATTGGTGTGCAAATGTTCACTTCCTAATAATTAATTCGAAGTTTGTAGAAACAGAATTTTTCTAAATTGTGCTAGCGAAACGGAAAAAATGTCTACGTTTTCTAACTTATTCAACTGTCTACATATATTAAACAAAGGACTATGAAAATGATGGAAGTAATTCGGTACATCTATTTGGAAAGTTATGTTCGATCTCGAAGTAATTCGCGGTACATAGAAATTAATCAATGAGAGTAATTCTGATGAGTCGATGAGATTGTGGACGATTTTGTGAAGGAATGTAAGGGCGGAGATCTCTCTACGCTTCCTCAAAGTTGTCAGCTTGAATTCGTCTGATAGTAGCTGATGGTGATCATAATGAAGTACTGGGTATGTATGGTGTTTTTTAAAATATAAGGAACTTCAGAAACTTATGCTGAATTTTCTCTATTGAGTCGATATATTTTTCTGGTATGGATATTCCAAACAGTGCTGCAGTATTCAAGCTCAGAACGTACTAAAGAGAAATAAACAGCTTTCATTGTTTCAATACAAGAAAATTCTTTGCTGTTGCGAATAACGAAGCCTGAGGGCCGAGCAGACTTCGATGTAATATTTTCTATATGTGGTGCAAATGTCAATTTCTTGTCGAAGATTATTCCCAGATCCTTACATTCATTAACCCGATCGATAACGCTATTATTCAACGAATAACTGTATTCCACCGGCGACAAAAGACAAAATTCTTGCATAGGTCATAACTTTGCATTTGTTCACGTTTAGTGGTAAATTGTTAGAGGTGCACCATTCAGTCAAAGTGTTGAGGTCTTTTTGCTGAATATTAACATCATGTTCATCACGTATGATTTCAAATATTTTCAGATCATCAGCAAAGAGTAGTATGTCAGAGCTAATTGAGTTACAGATATCGTTGACGAATAACAAAAACAATAGAGGTCCAAGGTTTGATCCTTGAGGAATCCCAGACGTTGCCACAAAATTGAAACTTTTTTCTCCCTCATATTCAACGTGCAGTTGCCTATTGGAAAAATATGATTACAAGGTAATCTGAACTCTTGTGGAAAACCCATAATCTGAAAATTTTTGTAGGAGGTGTTGATGGGATTCTTTATCAAATGCCTTGCTGAAATCAGTGTATACCACATCGACCATTACTTTATTATCCTAGGCATCTGACACAAACTTAGTAAACGTGCATAAGTTTGAGGTCGTACCACGTTTTTCAACAAACCCGTGTTGAAATTCGGACAATGTTGTTCTTACATGTTCATATATGACGTCTGCTAAAATGATTTCAATAAGTTAAGAAAAAACAGATATCAGAGCTATTGGTCTGTAATTTGTTATGTCCGATACACTACCATTTTTGTGAATGGGGCATACTCGTGAAATTTTCCAGATGTCTGGAAAAGTCGAATGCTTGAGAATAAGATTATAAATTATATACAAGGGACGAAGGAAGCAGTCGATGTTTTTCTTCACAATTTTAACAGGCACGTTGTCAGGGCCGCATGTTAGCTCGTTTTTAAGTTTCCTGGAAGCAATGATTATTTGTTGAATTGATATTACAGGTAGGTCTAAATACAGGCTTGGATTAGATAATGCTTGATGTGATATATTCTGATAATTTGCAGTGATAGGCGTATAAACACTACTGAAGTGGGTGGCAAAAGCGTTTACAATGTCGTTAGGTGATGATAAATTTGTATAATTGTAAATCATCTCCCCAGGAATTCGTGTCCTACTTTTTTTGGAATTGATGAACGACCAAAAACCTTTGGGATTAGACCTCAGATTGCTTTCAGAGTTAGTAATGAAATTCTTATAAGCTATGTTTATTTCTTTTTTGACAATTTTTCTCAAGTTTTTGTACTTCTCAAGATAATACATGCATTTACGCTTCCTGTACATTTTCAGATATTGGGTTTTTATATTGATCTTGTTAGTGAGATCTTTTGTATACCATGATGGAAATTTTTTTGATTTTTTCTTTGCTAGTGGTCTCCACTCTGGAATTATAGATTGAATAATATCGTTGAAGGTATTAATTGCTAAGTTCACATCACCGTACTCCTACAAAATGTCCCAATTAATATTGTTAAGTGATTGCGAAAATTTTTTATGATCCATTTTATTGTAGTCAAAACATTTGGCTGAGAGTAAAAAGTTTCTTGTCTTTTTACAGTTCATTTCTAGACTTATAGCAAGAGTAGGGTGATGTGGGTCTACTCGAACGAAAGACTCTAATTCTAGTGCAACATCACACTTAATATTTCAAGGCGATAATACTAAATCGAGAATTCTATCATTTTGGTTACTTACTAGGTTTTTTTGAGAGAGATCACAAAAATTAATAAACATTAGGAATCTACTGACTAAATTGGTTGTGCGTCTATTAGTTACATGATTTTGAAACTCTGTAATATTGAAATCTCCTATATGATAATCGATCGGCTGATATCAGGGAGGTTTTCTAGAAAGTCAAATAATACATCATAATCACTAATAGAAGTGCCTGATGGTACATATAAAAGTAAGATGTTAACGAAGGTATTACTTGCAAGAGATTCACGCTGACGATATCTACAGATACCACAGGACATTGAATATTAGAGGGAACAGATTCGTAACAATCACTGTTCATGCAAGAAGAGGTATGAAGAATAGTTACCAAATACTCATATTTATTTCTGGGATTATTAAATCATAATTATATTCTGAGGTTATAATCCTAGTGAAATCCGCGAAATGTTGAAACTACGTCAACTTATATGCATATCTGCAAAGAAATTGGCGGTAAAATCTTTCAGTTTCGAGTCATCCAATAGAATTGTGACACGGAAAATCCGCTTCGGATTTCCTGCCTATTGGAAACCCGCCTTGAGTAGAGGTTTGGAGGTTACTTAATAGGTTAGTATGTGACAACCTACCAATAATGTGTCGTTCTGTTACCTACTATCATTATCCACATACCCTGCCAAAAATGTCTCATAGAAACTCATAAAAAAATATATATGAGAATTTATGAGAATGAAGTTGGATAGTGAAACAGTAATTCCGTATAATCCTATGTATTTTGCAGATACATTTATAATCAGTTTCTAATGGCGATTCTCTTCCTTTCTCTTATGAGTATGAACTGTTTTTCGCAGATATATTCATAATCAGTTCCTAATAGTAATTCCTGATTATTTACATATGAGAATATATCAGAGTCAAGTTGGATAGTGAAACAGTAATTTATAAGCTCGAAATGTGTTCTGCAGTTACATGCATAATCAGTACACAACACTGCTTGGCTCGTACACTCTAACAGAACGGATGAAGCTGGGCGACAAGCCGAAGCTTTCGCCATCACTCACGGCTTAGAGCAGCTTATCAAAGAACCCACACGAATTCCCGATGCCAATAACCATTCAGCTAACATACTTGACTTATTCCTCACTAATAATTCAGCACCCTACACCATAGATGTACGAGCTCCACTTGGCAATTCTGACCACACACTCATCTCCACAACCTGCCCATTTTTCATTCCATCAACTGCTCCGGCACCCCCACGTCTTATATGGCATTACAATTCAGGAGATTGGGACGGTCTCCGCATGTTTTTCTCCGAGTTTCCTTGGCATAGAGTAAGCTTTGACTCTGAGGACCCTTCACAGTGTGCTGTGGAAATATCCGAGATCATCATGCTCGGAATGGACACATACATACCTCATTTTTCGAAAAGATCATCACCTTCGAAACCCTGGTTCAACAAAAACTGTTCTAGAACTGTTGCCTTGAAACAAACAGCCTACCATCGCTGGCGCAAAAACCCTAACCTCGCGACTAGAGCAGAATACGTTGATGCCAGGAATAACTGCAGCCAAACAATAGATGCTTCGAAAGAAACATACAATGCCAAGATAAGATCGAAACTCATAGATTGCCCCAATGGCTCCCGTTCGTTTTGGTCCCTTGCTAAAGCGGTCGAAAGAAATTTCACTAATAGTTCATTTCACATTATAATGTTTATCGTTGCGACCGCGAAAGTGCTCCGTGTGCCGATAACAAAAAATCCGGGGGAGGTGTACTAATAGGTGTTAAAAATACAATTGGTGTTACGCTTCGAGAGCACTTTCAGAGCGACGCAGAAGACTTATGGATAACCATCCACAATGACAACAATTTGAAGATCCATGTATGCTGCGTTTATCTTCCTCCCAGGGATGACTATGCCAGATTATGTTTCACTTCAAAACTACAAGCAAACCTCGATGAACTCACAGGTGAACCTATCATCATATTTGGTGATTCCAATTTTCCACACATTAGTTGGATTCCCAGTGAATGTAAAACTTTCTTTATTCCAACGAACACTGATAACTCTAACTCTTCATTGATCGATCTCTTAACATTTGGTGAATTTTCACAGCACAATGATATAAAAAACGTAGATGATAGAATATTAGATTTGGTTTTTTGCACTAAAATTCACTTATCAAAATAAGAAAAGAGTGACATTCCCTTAGTATATCCTGATTCTTATCATCCACCTATTGAGTTTTACATTAGTTGTCTCAATATCAAAGTTATTGACAAAACAGATCAAATTTTTTATAATTTC